AACTGGAAAGCAGCAGCAGCTCTCTTTAACCTCTGAAAGGAAGAGGCTGCAGCAGCATGCAGTGTGCTGAGCAAGCCTCTGAGGGCCAGGTAAGGAGAGAGAGAGCTGGGAATCCCAGTGCTCGTGGCTGTGCTGCTCGTGAGGACTGCTAGCAAAGGACTTGGAGCTCTGTTCTGCAATTCCAGGAGCCTGCTTCAGTCGTGCTGAATCTGCCTCTGAATGCTGAAATTACTTAGCATTACTTAGCAGTAGTGTTTAGAGGACACAGTACTCTTAGACATATATCTTTAATTTCAGGAAGATTTGCCCACACTCTTGATGGAATTACTGATGGACAAATCACAGTAGAATCATAGAATCGTTTGAGTCAAAAGGGCTGTTTCAGTGTCATCTAGTCCAATGCCCTGCAGTGAACAGGGACAGCCACAGCTCAGTCAGGTTGCTCAGAGCCTGGTCCAGCCTGACCTTGAATGTCTCCAAGGATGTGGCATCCACCACCTCTCTGGCAACTTGTGCCTCACTACCCTTAATGAAAAAACTTCTTCCTTATATCCTTATATCCTATAATCTCCCCTCTTTTAGTTTGAAGCCGTTTCCCCTTGTCCTGTCACAACAGACTCTGCTAAAGACTCCATCCCTTCTTTCTTACTGCTCCCCTTTAGATTCTGAAAGGCTGCTCTCAGGTGTCCCTGGTGCCTTCTATTCTCCAGGTTGATCAGCCCCAGCTGGTTTTGGTGACAGCAACTATGTCATCGTTTTTTAGTAGCGTGGTGCCTTCCAGCCTTTCCTGTTTGTTTCCCATGAAACGCCGTGAGCGTTGATGTAGAGGCATGTCAGCTGGGCAGCTGGCCTTGTCACCTTCTTGGAGGATAACTCCTTAATTCCTTTATGTATTTCCCTTGTGTTTCCCGTTGCCTTCTCCTGTTGCTTCAGTGCTGCCTGGCTCCTTGGCGTTACATTTTAAGTGCACTGCAGTATGGCCAGCACATCTCAGGGCAGCACCGCGTCCCTCTGTGGATGCTGTGCCCACATTGTCGTGGGCAGGCACCATCACCCCCGCCCTCAGAATTCAGAATCAGGTAAGCAAAGCTAAGAGAAATCACAGTTGCGAAAGTGGAAGCAAATCTGTTTATTAAGACTCAATTTTCTTTAGCAATAACCTGGTTTTGTTATTCTAGAATGTATGTGGAAGCTGCTGTCTGTCAGATGTTCCCAATACAGCGTGATTTGAAAAGAAGAAAGCTGAAGGAACTCGCAGTGTACAGTCAGCTACAGGATTTTTTCCCCAGTTCTTCATGACTATTAGCTGCTCCAGCAGTGACAAATTGTTTGGGTGTCAGCAGCCAGTCACTTCTCTTTGACCAGAGCACCAATGGACGCTTGCAAATACATGGACTGTGTGCAGCTGTCTTGCATCACTGCAGTGATGGAGAGCAGTGATGAAGCTAACAAAGTCAGGAGCACTCAAAACTACACTAAGAGCTGTGTATTGCAAATTCCCAAATCAGGGCCTGTCCTGTCCTCTGCTGGTCACACCGTCAGAAGCCAGTGTCACAAATACATTCTTTCATGCTTTTGGGGGAAAGTGGCCATCAGAACATACATAATTCCGTGTTCTGGGAGGATAGAAAAAAACTTCATGCTGAGACGCTCGGAATAAAGATCGTTACATTTCTCCATCCGTGAAAACCCCCGGCGAGGCTGAAGGGGAAAACCTCCCGCATCTTGCTCCGGAGCGACCTCGTCTGGCAGATTTGAGCCTCCCAGCGGTTTGTTTTTTCCCTGTTCAGACACCACTGCCTCCTCTACTAAGGAGAGCATGCACAGCTCTGTGCAGGGCCGGCGAAACGAGGCTCTGGCCGCTTGGGAAGCACCTGCGTGGTGCTGCTGCAGCAGCTTTATTTTCTCATTTAACCCAGCGAATAGGAAGGGTGGCGAAGGCAGAGAAAGTAGGCATCATAAATACATACATCATACATACATCAATACATACATACATACATACATCATACATGCATACATCATACATACATCAAACATACATCCATACATCATACACACACATACATCATACGTACGTACATACATACATACATCATACACACATACATCATACATACATGCATCATACGTACAAACATACATACATACATCATACATACATGCATACATGCAGCAGTTCCCTGATGCCACATCTCCTCATGGTTTTGGAGATTTCTTTCAGCATTTCTTAGCGATGCAGTTCGGGACACCGAAGGTCTGCAGGCGGGCGGGCAGCGGGATCCGGCCCTTGGAGTAACGAGCGCCAGAGGGCAGCATCCACGCGGCAACGGAGCTCTGCCGGAGGACCGAGCCGTTTGTAAGGGAGGCAAGAGGACGTTTGGAAGAGACGCGTTTCGGTGCGCTCTGGACGCTTTGGCTGTATTCATTTAATCAAAATTGCTATTCTGAGATTGAAAACGCAGCCAATAAATAGCGCACGTTTCCGTCAACAATTCTAGTTGAGAATCTAATAAATGATTTGGTTTAATGTACAACGTTTCTGCTTGTTCCAGTGGTTTATCTATAATCCCTGTCTTTGCAACAGCCAGAAGCTGCCCATGACAAGTTGTTATTTTCCCCTTTGTTATGGAGCTGTGGCAGAAAACTGCGTTCTAAAAATGTTTCTTTCTGCTCGATTCAATTGGGAGCATTTGCTCAGGGTGGGGAGAAGTTTTCGTAACGCACAAACTAGGTGTGATGAATTCTGAACAAGCTGGCCCTGACAACTGAGCTCATCAAACTCCGTGCTTTTAATTTAGCAGAATATCGTGTGTCTTCATCCTCAGTGCTCGGTAGGAAGCGCTGAAGAGAACAGCTGTAAGGAGAGTTCCACTTTTTTTGAGCTGACACACAAATGGCACTTGGTGCAGCAACCTCTGCTCCTGCCAGCTGAGTGTTAGTGAGCAGCAAGGACAGCTTGGGGAACAACAGGGCAGTGTGCGGGGCCTGAAAGCCCTCATTCATGCAGCAGCCTGCAGGATCTTGTGCGACACTGTCTGGTGTGCGTCAGCTTTGTGAAATTCGTACTCCACATTTTTTACAGAAAGAAAAAAAAAAAAAAGGAATTTGCCTTCGCTTCTTCATTTGCACTTCCAAATAATCTGTCCAAAAGATTTAGTCGTCAGTCTCACGCTTGGGGCTCACACACAATGAGGCCACTGGCACAATGTTTTGGCGCCCTGTAAAAAGTAAGGAGCGTTCTTTCTGTTCTCCCATACATGTTTTGAATTTCTGAGATGATCATAGGAGGTATCACTTAACGTAGCCTAAGTAGAAAGACTACAAAGTACTGCGATTGCTTCGCTTCTCTCCAGTTTAACTTGCCCTTGAAGGACGAGAGCTTTTCTTGGCGCTGTGCTGATCGTTACTCCTGCAGTACCGTCTGGGAGTGCTTTGTGTGCAGCACAGCCCAGCTCTACATTGAAGGAATCCATAAAGCTCGCAGCTGTGCTTTATGGTAAAAATCCACTCTTGGATTGGTGGAATGCTGACCCTTTAGGGCTGTCCTTCCCAGCAATGCTGACCTGCCCTCCTCCTAAGCACATGTTGCTCACTGAAATGGCAGTAAATGTACCACAAATTAACACCTTTTTTTTTTCTTTTTTTTTCCCCCACAGATATCATTCAGATTCCGAGGAAAACTTCAAAAAAAGTTTTCTTTTACTCGTCCAAAAGCTTTACAGCGGCACTTTATTTTCAAAACAGTTTTCGTTGTAGAAATATAGGTCTGGTCACATAGGAATTGGTCTCATACCTAGGATTTGTGGTTTGGGGGTTTGTTTTCATCCATTCTTCTTTCCCAAATATTCTGATCCTATCACAGCTTGCTTAAAGTTTATAGTAACACATCATCCAAGACAACACACTTCCAATCCTATTGCATTTACTAAATTTAGTGGATGATTTCCTAAATACATAAGTAATAATAGTAATTAGTTGCATCCTTTGGGCCAGAACAGCCTCAGTAAGTCGCAGTGGAGGATCCAGTCCTGTAGCTTATCTTCTCTAATTGCATAAAGCAGCTGTAATCTCACCAGATCCAGTCGCTGGTGTATTCCTATCTGCCCTGGAGTTTCCCAGCTGATGGATAGCCACTTTCCTATCATCTTCCTTCTGAGCTTACTGCAGCCAATTATTGGGAAAACGGAGCTGTGCTGGACTAATGTTGTACCATAGTGAATGTAAGGATCCCTAATCTGCCATTGCTCTAAATTAGGCAAGAGCCAGGCCCTGTGGCACAACACAGCTGCAGCTCAAAATCTGGGCCAGAATGCGCATGCTGAGATAACGTAACCAAATCTCATGCTTAGGAACTGATGGTTTCTGGGAGGTGTTTCTCCTCTCCAGGGTCTGTGAGCAGAATTAGAACAAATTACGCTTAGTAACTGAGCTGTGTGTTACTTTGGAGCACGAAGCAGCAGCAGGTGCCTTGAAGGAGGATGCCAAGCTAGAAGTGAATGACAACTGAATGCAGTAAGGAAAAGTTTTCTGTTTATCAAAAGGGGCAGCATGTACTCACCTCTAACACAACTGAAGCAATCAGGTTAATTATTGGCCTGTGTCAGAAAGTGCCACACGCTGAGCTGTCAGTCTGTCTTTGCAGCCATCAGGTGTTCTGAGCATCAACAACATTTCCTATCGTACCTGGCAGCTCCCTGGCATCTCCTTCTTCTCCTTCCTATCAGGAAACAAATGGGTGATACAAAAATGTGTGTCTCAATATGAAATCAATACTGTTAAATGTAGTCACTTAGGATCCATATGCCTGTCATGTATGTTAACATAAAACCCTGCCTCTGAACTGCAGGCAGGACATGCCTGGTCACAAACAGCTGGAAATATGGTACCATCATAAGAGGGCAGAGCAACACAACTTTTCATTCACCTTCCCATAAGCTGCATGCAGGACAAAGAGTGAAGTGAAATTACTGCCAAAACTTTGCTTATATATCATCCAAGTTCCCTGGAAAGCAGAGGTTGGACTTCAGAGCGAACAGTGCGTTTACATAAGTAACTGCTTGTTGCACTCATACAGGTAACCAGAACACAGCAGCATGGCTCTGCTCTCAGCCACTTCAGATCTGTGGGATCTGGGCTGCAGCCCAGAGCCATGGGCAGTGCTGTGCAGCCTCACAGCAAAAGGTTTCTGATGTTTGTACAGCAGAAGAGGCAACACATGGAGGCAGACATCATCAACATGAAATTGTGAAGATCAGCTCGCAAACCAGAACTGCTGGCACATTGCAGCTTAATGGCGACCGGTGGCTTTGGACACAAATGACAGAAGGGATCATAATGTAAGTAATAATGCAAGCTATGTAGGTCGCTTCAAAAGTAATGCCTCCTGTTCATTTCCGTGGAAACTACAATGGATACAAAGAACACAATGGCACTATTTCATGGAGCAACAAAATGTGATGGAATATTATTAGGAAGGTTTGTTGTTTGTTGCCATACCACCAACCTCTGCTTCTGAAGCTGTGGGCCAACAGAACAAAATAGGACGCATAACTTTCAGAGCAACCCTGGTATCTGGTGTTTCTTATTTGAAAGGTGGCACTAAAGCCATTTGGACACAAACAAGCAAAGAATTCAATCAAATGTAGAATCAAAAGGTTTTTTTGCTTTCGTTTGGTGGTTTGGTTTTCTTTTGTTTGTTTTGCAAAAGAGTAGAAAAGACCAAATCAAAATTGGGGAAGTGAAGATGCTTTGGTGCAGCACTTCAGCATATCCCATAAAGGACCAAAAAAGAGAAGGCAAACAGGCTGGTAGACCAGAAAGAAACTGTAAAAGAAGGGGGGGTGGGGGGAGGGGGAATACAGCTATGCTGTAGTACCTGCAAACTACACAAATGTATTTAAAAATGAATCCGGCACAAATGGATTTAATGACAAGCACACTGTGAGACTTAAAATGCTGTGTAGAGATTATGGCTCGCTAAGAATGTGAAAAGCACGCGGGCAGGAGGGTGAAAAGCAATTTTATGAAGTATAGGAAAGAATCAAAAGCAGAAAATGCAAGAAATCAGTGATTGGAAGCTGTCAGAACACGGCGTTCGCGGTGCCTGTTCTTGCACTCGGTGCCACTGCAAGTTTCCTGATGACAGGCGTGCTGAAGCCTTGGTTTGACAGCTCATACAAAACATTTGAACATGAAGATCTTTTGTTTCCCTGCCAAAATAAATGGCTTTTTTCCCTAACCGTAACGTGCTGTCCTCAGACCTGCTCTTCCTAATTAGAGGTGGTGAGCACCATTTAGTTAATGATCATCTTTTATTTCTGTTCTGCATGTTGAATTCTGATTCAGTTCTTGTTTCGGCAGAGCATGTTTACAAGTGGCTAAAATCACTTGTTCATCTCAGCACTGCATTTCAGGGAGCAGAAGCAGAAGTTGCCTGAGGTTAAAACCCATGGCAACAGCTGTCCTGGCTTCACACAATTATATGTAACTGTGTTAGAGGTGTGCTTGTCCTGCCATTGAGAAAGAAGACTCCAGATTGCTTAGGGCACATGACAGATACTTTGGTATCTGCTGTGGTATGCAAGCAACTACAAATATCACATATTAAACCCAGTATCTTACTTTGTACCACGACAGAACCAATAATTTGTCATTAAACTCCTGTTCCTGCCTGAATGAGAGCAGCACAGGTCAGCTCAGTGCCATTGAGCTCCTGATGGAAGGACGAAATAAAGAGGCAGCTTGATACTCACTGTGATCAGGTACAGCCCAAGGCATGACGTTTGATTACTCTTATCTTAAAAGGCATAGCAGCAAATGTTACAGAGGTCATAACATTATTAAACCTTTACATTTGACTTGAAGATGGGTCCTAGATCAAAAAGGAGACAAAAACATACTCAAGATCTCACAATGAATGATCACTTCTCATTTTTCATTCCTATCAGGAGAAGGGGTGCACTGTCATTGCAGTACAAGGACTGCAGTCCTGCTTGTGTTTCTGCAGAGCGGTAAATTAAAACTCAGCATGCAGGAGAGTTTAGCTTTGTTGTAAACAAGGAGTTGAGCTGGAAGGTCTTACTCACGTCCTCCTAGCTGGACAGTGCTAAAACCAACAAAAGAACTGTTGCTTCACAGAAAGAAAGCACAAGAAAGCAATTTAAAGGTGACACAACCATGATGGTGGTGAATCCAGACATTCAAAAAAAAGAAAACCATCATTAAGGCCAAGAAGGGCATAATGCCTGTGTTTAAGAACATAAACTTCAGTTTCCTTGTTACTTTCTGAGTAAGCACCATGGCACTGTTTTCAAATGTTTCCTCTGCGGTTTTAAAACCTGGGACTTTTTTCCTAAATTTCATGATTCCGGGTGCTGCAGATTTTCCACTGGATCCTGCAAGGCTTCAGATAAAGCTAACACCAGATCAGTGGAACACGGGAAAAAACTGGGCTTTCTTGATTCTTCCCCGGTTCATTGCTGATGCTGCTGTCCAGGAAACAGTTCTTTTCTGTGACATGATTTTGAGAAACCTGGAAGGAAAAATACAGGAGTAGCCTTTCCGTGTTCTTCTGGAACCATTTTTGTATATCTCCAATAATATAAATAATCTAGGAAGTGATATAAAACATTTCCAAAAAACATACGTTGAAAGCATGAAGCACTCAAGATCCTCTGTCCAAACAGACTCCTGCCTTCCCTCCCTCTCCACATTTTGGTGAGCGCTCAGGCAGCCTCATCTTTTGGATAATTAGAGGATGCCAGATGGCTGTAAATATGTTCACAGTCCTTCACATCCAGTTCCTTCTATCTGGCACCCTTATTGCTCTGCCCTGTAGCAAGCACCTGGTCTGTTCTCATCTGAAGAATGTCCCTCTGCTCTCTTGATCTAAATTGTCACCTTTAGGGTTTTTTCCTCTTTAAATGTTTAGTGCCAAAGAACGGTCCCCTGCAGTCCTGTTGTGTAGATAATAATGTGCCTTCTCCTGTTTATAGGCATCAGCTTCCTTGACACCAGAGCTGCTGTCATTGAGCACGGGATGACACAGATCGCCTGCAGAGAATCACGAGGGCAGAGCAGCTTCTTCCTATTTTGAGAACAGAGATCTCCTGCTGCCCTTTGCATGGGGGTAAGTGGCACACAGGATGAGGTGATTCATCTCAAGTCACGCTCTGAGGAACTGCCAAAGTCAGCACTTGCATGGCAGTTCTGGGTTAAAAGCACCAGTCCCTCTTCTCCTCCTCCTCACAGAATCACAGAATCAGAACATCTTGAGTTAGAAGGGAACCACGAGGGTGAAAGGACAAATCAGGCTTTACAAAATGTGATTTTTCTGTTTTTAAAGTCATGGTTACTGAATTGCATTTTTGCACGGAAGGTAACTGTGATCCCATTATTTGATACCTCAAAGCACGTCCTGAAAACCATAAAATCATAGAGCTTCTAAGGTTGGAAAAGACCTCTATGATCACCTAGTCCAACCATCCTCCTTCCACCAATACTGCCCACTGAGCCATGTCCTGAAGTCCCACACCTGCAGGTTTCTTAGACGAGCTCTCAGTAGCTCACAGCTTGTGCAAAAGAACGTGGAACTTTTTACAGTTAACATAAAACACAGGATGTAGGATCAGCTAGAAGACATGAGATACAACTTTCAATTTATTATTGTAGAATCATGGAATCTTAGAATCATACAATTACAGAATGGCTTGGGTTCAAAAGGACATTCTGCTGTTCCACAGCCTCTCTTTGGCTTTGTGGCAGGCAGGCAGTGGGCATCACAGGTCTCCATTGGGACAGAAACCATCCGAGTGCATATGCTCAGTCAGGATTGCCCCTCCCTACAGCCAGAATCCTGCAGTTTCTCTCCTTAAACTTCACGTGGCTGGTGATTGCCAACTCTCCAGTCTGCCTGGATCTCTCTGCAAGGAGTCCCCACCCTCAAAGCGGTCAGCAGCTCCTCCCAGTTCAGTATCATTAGTGAACTTGCTCAAAACACCTTCTACCCCAACACCCAAATCAAAATGTTAAAGAGAACTGCCCCTAACATGGAGCCCTGGGAAACTCGCTGGTGACCAGCCACCAACCTGATGTGAGCCCTTACAACTCTTTGGGCCGACCCACCGCCACCCTATGATTTGGTCTGGCACTGTGCTGGGTGCTGTCCAGAAGGATACTGTGAGAAACAGCTTTACTGGAAAACAAAAAAGTAACATCAAACTGGCTTCCCTTGTTCAACAAGACGAGTGACCTTGACATAAAAAGAAATTCACAGGACCTTCCCCTTATGAACCCGTATTGTCTGTGACCAATGAACGCATTGTCCTTCAGGTGTTTTTCAGTAACCCCAGCATAATTTTCTCCATCATTTTACCAGGAACTGAACTGAAACAGACAGGCCTGTGTAGAGCAAACAAGGGCGGTGACAGAGTCCTTATGTGAGAAATAGGTGCTGTAGGAAAAAATAGCAAGGAGAAATGAACTCAGCACTCCCAGTAACAGTTTGAGGAAGGGGCGAACTGAGGAATGCAGCCTTCTCCCATTTGTACTGGTGCAGGAGAAGGGCAGGGGAAGGGGCACAAGGGGCAGCTGCACAGAGTCAGACTGCACAGAGTCAGACTGCACGCTGCTCCCAGAAGCCTCGCTGAGACAGAAAGGGTGGCTGCAGCCCCCTGCTCCAGGCAGTTACGTGCTCACATATTGGTTCAGGCTGTGACCTTGGAATTCCATACCCACCTGTAATTACCAGGGTCTTCTTTCTTGCTCTTCTTGAAAATTGCAACATTTGCCAGCTTCCTGTCAACTGAGACCTCTCCACGTTCCCAAGACCATGGTGAAATAATTGGAAGAGGTCTCACAGTGACATCAGCTAGCTCTCTGTGTACTCTGGGATGGATGCCCCATGGACTCACGTGCATCCAGGTGGAGCAGAAAATCCCACACAGTTCCAGGTTGGCTACGAGTTGATCGCTACTGCGGTCAGTCTGGGGTGCCAGAGACCATCGCTGGCTTTGAAGACAAAGGCAAAAAAAGGCATTAAATGTTTCTGATTTGTCAGTGTTTGTTTGTGAGATGACTATTCTCATCAAGCAATGAACTAATATTATCTCTGGTCCAACTTTTGTTGGTGGTGTATTTAAGAAACACTTTTCATTGCCCCCCAGTTTGAACTTTGACTTTTGACCACACAAATTTTCTTCCATCAAAGGCAAACAGCAACCCTGTAGTCCTTCTATGCTGCCTGACCTGACAAGGAGCACAGCTCACCGTTTTGACAGTTTGACTGGTCTGAAGACTTGGATACCCAAGACAGGTGCATAGACAAAAACCTGATCCCATGCGCAGAGATCTTGTAAACAGGTATTAAGGTTCAGCCAAAATGATACAATTTCTGTATGATGAGAGTTTCATGTTACCTGATCAAATACCCTCTGTTTGTGGTTTTTTTTTTACCCTCTGAATTCACCAATATTGCTGTTAAAGCCAAACAGAGTGTGCTTTTTAGGATTTTTTGTTGTTGTTACGGAATTATTTCTAAACTCTTAAGAAGTAAGGATGGAAAATTGTACAGAAAGAACTATCAAAGGGGAAGTTGGTCCTAAGGCATCTTAAAATATAGACACTGACATTTCCAAAACTAAAGGAAGAGGAATAGACAAGGTCACAAGCTGACTGAAAGTGAGGAAAGCTACACCAGCAAAAATTTTGGGTCACTACAAGGGTGAATGGATTGTCAGAGGAAAACCACTGAGAGATGATGAGTGTGTATTTTCAGGTCTTTGAATGCAGCCGTTTGAGCTATCACCCACATTTCATTTAACGAGGCATTACCAGCTCTGCTACGTGCAGCAGATGCTCTGGTTTGCTGAAGTGTGGGAGACTCCAGCCCATGGCACTCCAATCTGCTTGGTTCCACTTCCCCAGTGTGAGGGCATGTGGTTGTTTTACTGAGTTCAGGACCCCTTCAGGACTGCAGTGAAGAGTGAAGAGCCCCAGCTTTACTACGTAATGCTAACAGATGTCACCCAGAGCTACACATCAGTTTCTCACGTAATAAAATGCAACCGTTTCGACTTTTCTGCTCATAGAAGTGTCAGTGTTTGATCACAGAATTGTTTAGGCTGGAAGAGACCTTCAAGATCATCCCCCAACCATCAGTCTGACTTACCAATGAAAGAAGTCGTATGAGAATCCTAGAGAAATACAGCATCTTACTATACTGAAATTGTACTAGACATTATACTGAGTTGTCCACATTTCCTATTCTTTCCTATTTTTCCAGCAGTACTGCAATTCGGGGCCTGGATGAATGGATGGGCACCTGGATCTGCTCAAATAGGTTCTTTATTTCTGTGAAGCAGATTCCAGTTGACAAATGTCATGAACTACTCACAAACAGGAGAGAAGACTGTCTTTGACTAAAAGGATAATAAGAAAATAAGACTTCCATAAGAAAAGTGCAAAGTACAGAATTACAGAGACCAACAAAACAGGGGGACAGGTCAGTGGGCATAGAGATGCACCACTGGAAGCAACCAAGACAGCAGGAATCAAGGGAAGACAGAGGTGGCTGCAGTCTGTGCAGGCATTAATAAGCAACCTGCATCTGATGACAGATCTGTTAAAAAAAAAACAAACTTCTCAAGAAATCAGCCTTCCTATTACATAAGATGAGGAGGCTGCTGCTGCAAACCACGATTTCCCCAATAACAGTCACATTTCTCTGTGATTTTGCTCGTGTTGACTACCTGGTAGGTTAACTCTTCATTGAAAGTGGGGAGAAAGCAGATGGCAGAGGGCAACTTTGCTTACCTTTCTTGAACAAGGAGATAGATAAACTGATTTTTGTAATGATGCATTTGAGATACAGAGGCCAAATGTTACTTTTATGAGCCTATAAGATAAAGATAGGCTTCTTGTTTGCAGAACTTCACCATTTTGCTTTCTTTCTGGCAGATAAAACCTTACAAATTGGCCCTGTGACCTATAGATGCTCAGTAAGCAAGTGACTGAGAGCAGGCATTCAAACCACGCTTCATAAGAACCTTCATGATTTTGAATGCCATTTCATGATTTCTAGGAAGCATGACTCCCAGATTGGGCTGCAAAAAAGGTAGACAGCTCCAAGATTAAATATAGCATCCCGTGGGCTGGAAGGAAAAGCAGAAGTGGGAGGTTGTTCTGCAGAAATCAAGGGACTTACTTGTGTTGCAGCACAAACAGTGATGAGACCCGGCCCATGGGGCATCCTCAGGATTGTCCTTGGGTTAATGCAAAGCACAGAAAAATCGTTCTAAAAATAGATCTTATTTTGATAGCCTTGGTTAAGTCCTAGCTAAAATGCTGAGCTCCCATTGTATCTGTGTCACCCCACGAGGGCTCCCAAGGCAGGCCTCTGTCCCGTGGCTGTTGCTCACAGCACCCATCACTGCCATCAAACTGGTTTTCTCCCAGTGAATCACAGAATCCTTCAGGTTGGAAAGGCCATTATGATCATCTTGTCCAACCGTCACCCCATCATCCGTGCCCATTAACCTTGTCTCCACTGCTCTAGAACGGCTGCAGGGACAGCCTCTCCACCGCTCCCTCGCCAGTCTGCTCCAAAGCATCACCACTCTTTTGAAGAATAATTTTTTTCTCATATACAACCTAAATCCAGACCTGTTGCTTGCTTTCTTAGGCTGCTGATCTTGGCATGCACAGAGGGAATAGATTTCAGAGAAGAAATGTTGAAGCTAACGCTCTTTAGGCTCTCCTTAGATCAAAAGAAACATCCTGTCACCCAACAGCCAAAGGCACCCTTCAGAATGCTAGTTCTCTTCCAGGGCATTTGCGTTTTTGGTCTTCAGATAGCTATGCTGTGTGTGACTAAGTCCATCTGTTGCAAGTTAGTCCTTTAAATAATTATGTCCACATCTCTGCTGAGTAGCTCCAATTAATGCCAGTCCTTTGCATATTGTTCAGCACCACACTGCAAAGCCACCACTTCTTACAGCTGTGAACAATGCCCTCTGTCTGCCCATCACGAATGTATGAACTCCTCCATTCAAACCACACAACTCTGAAATGATTCTTTCTATCGTCCTGTGGGGAAGGATTTCCAGAACCATGTGGCTGTTTTTGGGAAGAGCAACATCTGCTTGTATGCAAAACTCCCCGGTGTCGCGGTGATCTGGTCTCCAGCGCCTCAAACTCCAGCTTCTCTGAGCTTTCCTGAACATTCATGGAATCTGTAAAGAGGAAAAGAAATAAAAGCTGGGAAAAGAAAATAGAAAACCCACAAATTTCCTCCATTTTCTGACAGAGGCGATTCTGGAAAGAGCTGTTTCAAACATTAAAAGAACAGCTCTCCTGGAGCTTGCTTTCACCCCAGCAGACCAGAAGCATTTCCTCAGTGCTGGGCGCTCACTGCAGAATTTGCTCCGCGTGCTCCAGCTCCTGAAAACAAACACGTGAAGGCGGGAGGCCGGCTTCCCAGCTCACCAATCCACCTCTTTCTGCAGTTCCCAGTAGGCATTTCAGTGCCTCCCATTCCTGAATCACTCAGGAATACACACATATCTACTGATACACTGATCCACGAGGAGAACAGAACCACTTTGTTCCCTGATTCTAGGAAGGAGATGCATAAAACCGGGACTCTCACAGAATCCTAGGAAATAAAGGAAGAAAAAAAGAAGCTGAGAAGGGAAATGTTCGAGAATCTGCTCTGAAGGATCTGCGGGGAAATAGTCGGCATGGGGTCATAGAATATCTCAGCATCTCCAGGATGCCTTCCAAAGGTGAAGGAAACTGGAAGGCAAAAGTGATCTCATGTGGGAAGGCACAAATTGGGGAGGGTGAGACCACACTGAGCCACCAGAGAGCTGTAATGCCCTGCTCAGAAGAGTCCATCTGTCACAGACACGGCGGCAAAGGTAGTGATTAGAACAAAACAGCAATAAATGAGAAACAGAATGAGGAAATGGAGGGAACTGAGAGCAATTAATGATTAATCTCACAGAGGGCAGAAAATAGCAGGAAAAAAGGGCAGAACAGAAATTTCTGGCTGTCAGTTTTAAGGAAAAAAAATAATGTATTTTTGAAGCCATATTAAGAGAAAAGAAATCCTAATCATAGTCTGAGACTTTTACAAGTCATGGTGTTCATTATTATGCAGGAAAAAAAAAGCCAGAAATATTTAATAAAAATTTCTTTTCAGAATTCAGAAAGAATTAAGAGCAGTGTGCCAGAATGATGTGGTGATGATGCACAGCTTCCAGCTCATTAGTAACACATAGCAGCAAGAAGGAAAAACTGCTCACAACAGCCATGCCATGCAACTGTCCTGTCCCTGTTAATCCCAGGGACAAGAAGTGGCTCTGAGGCTGATTGGTTTTAGGTGTAATCCTAACACTCAATTCACAGCTGCTGCATCTCTGGCTCTCCGTGCTCCCAGGAGAGCGGTCCTCCGTGAGCCTGTGCTTGTGAGTGGCAAACTGGCAGAAGTTGTGTTCCCAGCAGTGCTCACACAAGTCCAAAAGATAAAATGAGTTTTTTCCCTTGTATTCTTTCATTACGATTATTATTTTATTCCTTTTTATGGAAGTTAATCTGCTCTTGCTTTACTTTGAAAAATGAGTTGGAATGTGCAAACTCAATAATTTTTCCTGTGAATGTAGGTCAAACTATTTTCTATTTTTTCCCATCTTTCCTGTGACTTGGGAGAAGATTTCAATACTCCAGCACTCCAAGGAGGAATGCCTACATGCGGAAGCACGGAGCTTTCCCTTAGTAAGAGACCTACCAATAACAGCGCAGAAAGACGTGAATGGTGCAAACAAATACTTTCCTTTATTGTTCGCATCAGTTTTCGTATAAAGCAATGTTGCTCAAAGAAGATTTGCAGAAATCAGAACTGTCTTCTCATTGCAGTGCACTTTACCAAGCAGCCTCAGACTTTCAGGAAATTTACAGAAAATCAGTCTGATGCTGAGCTCAGTGGAAGCGCACACTGCTCTGCTCCGATATCGAAATGCAGCGTCCAAATCTCACTGATTTCATTCCCAGTGTGTTCTGAATGTCTTATGCAACTGCATTACACCAACCCCCCCCCCCCCCCCGGCCCAATAGAAAGAAACTTATTGTTTCATCTATTCTGGCATTTGCCTCATTAGAGAAAAAATAACTTCCGCAGCTTCCTTCTCCAGTACCTCCTAGAAACCCTCTGGCGGTTTTCCATTGAAAAAAAAAAACACTGGAAATAGGTGTTTTGTCAGTATGTTCATCAGCATTCTAACATTGGAGGATTCATGGATAACAGCCTTTGGCTTGGCTCAGCTTGGCTTGGTTTGGCTCCCTGTAGGCCGGCAGCTTGAGTGCACCAGGATTGATTGCATAGGGGAGGCAGCAGCTGGGGAGAGGCATGGCGAGAGAATGGCAAGGGACGTGGCGAGGGAGGAGAGTGTGTTGTGAGGAGAGTGCTTACAGCACCCAGTTTGAGGAGCTGAGCTGGGTTGGATTGGGTTGGGTTGGATTGTGTTGTTGTGTTGTTGTGTTGTTGTGTTGTGTTGTGTTGTTGTTGTGTTGTGTTGTTGTGTTGTTGTGTTGTTGTTGTGTTGTTGTGTTGTTGTTGTGTTGTGTTTTGTGTTGTTGTGTTGTGTTGTGTTGTTGTGTTGTTGTGTTGTTCTGTTGTTCTGTTGTTCTGTTCTGTTGTGTTGTGTTGTTGTTGTGTTGTGTTGTTGTGTTGTTGTTGTGTTGTGTTGTTGTGTTGTTGTTCTGTTGTTGTTGTGTTGTTGTGTTGTTGTGTTGTTGTGTTGTGTTGTTGTTGTGTTGTTGTTGTGTTGTGTTGTTGTTGTGTTTTAGGGTTGGGTTGATGGATTGGGCTGCTGGGTTGTATTCATTTTTTCTGTATGTGTTTTTCTTAATTCTTCCATCTCCTGGAGCCCTGTGGCTGAGGTTCCCTGTGAGGACAGAACAGGGAACATCTGTGCTGGCTTTCACATCTCTGCTGGAGGCTCCTCAGCCCCCAGGATGAGCACCTTCCCTTGCAGCTTGGACAGGGGCAGTGGTTTTTCTTACACCTCTGCCTTTCTGTATGAGAGCATCGCAGACAAATGACAGCTCTTTCTGCAGGTCTTCCCAGGAGGAGATCAAGGAGATCTGCTCAGCCTGCTTTCCAGACATCTCTGCTATCTTGGAACAACGTTTGAGTTTCTGGGCCCTTTTTAGGGTTTTCTCATCACAAGGCACCAGGCAGCCTTCATACAGCAGACAGCTGAGTGGCAAAGCCTTGCCGCAGATGCATTCGTTCCGTGGTTGGTGCTGTCCTGCAGGCTGTGCGTGCTGCAGAAATCCAAGCTGTGGCTGCTGCTCCTGAGCCAGAGCCACGTCAGTGCTGACCTGATGGTGAGGTTCACGAGGTTCTGGAGTGGGAAAAGCCACAATGGGGCACTGGGAGTGCAGAGGAGATGTTCTCCATGCACAGATCTGTCTGTCTAGCGAATATTTGTGCGGTGTCTGGACTAAGGGGAGAAAAATGCTCTGCGAAGAGCCCCCTTTTCATCAGGCCCTGTGCTGTGGCAGCAGGCTGTGCGGTCTGAGGGAAAAACTGCAGAACTGGGTTTGGAAAGCAGGTGATTTGTCACGATCCGGACTTCTTTCCTGAGCAGAACATGCGGGTTTATGAATCAAGTCTTTTCATTTAGTGTGGATGGCTGTGATTTGTAAATCTCTAATAGAATTTGTAGATCCACAGCAGGGTTAACGAAACAAGACTGAGATTTATCATTTGGGAGGAAGGTTTGCAAATCCATCGGTGGGGGTGGGAATCCTACAGGCCAACTCCTGCAGCTGCTGAAGGTTTTTATTCTCCATCTCATTTTTAAGAGTGATTTTTTTAAACCAATCTGAGAGCTGGCACACACAGGTTGAAATTAACATTGTTGAAATGCAAACCAAGAAATAGGACTTTTCGTAGGCTTTAAGAGCAAGCCTAGAAAGAGTGGAAATCGAGGAAGGATTTAATGCATTTTGGTGTATTAAAAATTTATTTTTCCAACTTCTTTTTTCCATCGCAGCATGGGTCACCTGTTACTGTAAAAACAGCCTGAGTGCTTGCTTCCTGCAGGTGCTGCTGAGGATGTCACAAGGGACACGTGTTGGCTTTGGTTATCAACAGCCAGCACTACAGTGATTTCATCAACACTGGTGGTGTCCTTTCTCAGAACTGTGATGAGGCGTGAAGTTTGGAATCAAGCCGCAAAGATGAGAAAGGAGGGGAGGGGAAGGGGAAGGGGAAGGGGAAGGGGAAGGGGAAGGGGAAG